AGCATAAAATTTGCTCCTTAATAATTAGTAGATGTGAAAAACATTACCATTGAAATCTACCTGATGACTTTATATCTATGCTCAGATGCCAAGGAGCTCAGAAAGTAACCACTCTGTGATTAGTAATAATCAGATATATAGAGATTAGAAACGCATGTGTATCTTAGTGTCAATTATATTAAAAATGATTTTTTCTGTATGAAACTGCATTTTAATAATGGAATGGAAATCTTTTTTAAAGTTTAAAACCTCATTTACTTTTATGCCTTATAGGGTTTAGACAGAGTACAATACTGTATAACTGTATTAATTCAACTATATACCTAAAAACTTACAGCCAATTTTGAAAGAGATGCATCTTAGCTCTGGAAATTGTTATTGAAGATGTCAATGCTGTTGTAATGAAATGCTTCTTCTAATTATATGGTTATTAAATAAATAATTAAAAAAAAACAAACTAAAAACGAACATACTATATAATATCATTACTTATATCACTCCTTGGCATATACCCAAAGGACTTATCATACTGCAGAGAAATTTGTACATCCATGTTTGTTGTTGCTCTTTTCACAATAGCTAAGAAAAGGAAGCAATCTAAGTGTCCCTCAACTGATAATGAAAATGTGGTACATTTACAGCAGAAAAGAAAGATGAAATCATGAAATTTTCAGGTAAATGGATGGAACTAGAAACTGTTATACTAAGTGAAGTAACATAGACTCAGAAAAACAAACATATGTTCTCTCTCACTTGTGGATCTTAGTACCAAATCCTTATATGTGAGTATATATCTTAATGTAATTGCAGGAGCCAGGAATATCAAAAGGAACCAGGAAAGCAAATGGAACCTGAGAGAGACAAACAGTGGGAGAAGGGGGAAATGGGAAAATGGGAGTATTTTAACTGAAAAACTAGATGGAAATATATTAGCTAAAAAAGTGTGGCACAGCCATAAATGCGGGGCACCCACTCTTCTGTAAATAAACCTCTACCCTATGCTCTGTTAAAAAATAATAAAGTATTAAAAAATCTATTGTACAATTATACATACAATATCTTTAAAAAAATAATAAAGTGCAGATTATAGGTAAAAACAAGATGACATTAATAAAGCCAGCTTCAAGTGCGCCACTTACCTGGTTCCTAAAGCATTTGCTTTTGTAAATGAGTTTTCACTGTCATCACAAAGCTCGCAGGTTGCTTGGGATAACAAGGACCCACTAACATTTCTCTCCACTGTATAGTATAGAGACAAGATGAAGATGTAGTTCATGGTGAACGTCATGCTACATATGCAGAGATGTTTAGATAAACTTATAATTAGCATTATCATAATTCTCAAAGCACATTATTGCTTAAAAGGCATGTCAAACATGGATATAATAAAGTATTGAAGCAAAATCTTCCTCATTCCTACTAAAAGTATATGGAAACTAGTTTTCCAAGTGATCCTCATAATACATCAACATTTTTCCTAAACAAAACCTCTTATTTCTTTCTTGTCATACTGGATGGAGGAAACATAGTATCTTCACAGATTCCATTAAGCTTCCATAAGTGGGAGTGGTCTCCTGTGATGGCTAATCCTGGGTGTCAACTTGACTGGATCTGAGATTAAATGAAATGAGACCTTCTTGATTGGATCATCTGAAGGTGGAAGACTCACCTTAAATGTGGGCGTTACCCCCCACAAAAGGCCATGGCAGAAGAGAGCTCTTGGTTTGTTGCCCCTTGCCTTCTCTCTCACTGGTGAGTTCATCTTGCTGCTGTGACCAGCTTCTTTGGATTCTAACATAGACTGAAGACTAGCAGATCTCTTGGAATTCCTCAGGCCTTCAGCGCCAGATGGGGAAAGCTGAGAGATCCAGCCTCATGGACTGAGCAACTACTAGGTTCTCAGCCTCTCCTGTGTGGTCTTGGTTTGTTGCCCCTTGCCTTCTCTCTCACTGGTGAGTTCATCTTGCTGCTGTGACCAGCTTCTTTGGATTCTAACATAGACTGAAGACTAGCAGATCTCTTGGAATTCCTCAGGCCTTCAGCGCCAGATGGGGAAAGCTGAGAGATCCAGCCTCATGGACTGAGCAACTACTAGGTTCTCAGCCTCTCCTGTGTGGTGCAGCCATTGTTGGACTACTCAGACTACTTGGACTACTTAGCTGGTAAATCTCTATACATATACATATATATATTCATTCTACTGGTTCTGTTTCTTTAGAGAACCCTGACTAATACATCATTGATAATACCTACCAT